AAAAAAAAAAGTCATTTAGATAGCGGGAAAAGCATCTAGCTTTTTATCTCCCAGTTTTCTTTCCCAAATGGAAATCCACTTCCTTCCTTCCAACAACATTTACTGCACACCTACTATGTGCCTTGGTGGTAGTATCTGGCTGTGGATGAAGAAGGCCTTCCAAAGCCACTGCCTGGAGGGGAAGCTGGCCTCAACATCAGGACTGACTGTGAAGGCTAACAAGATGCCTTCATAGAGAGATTCACAGAATGCCAGGGAAGGGCCAGGAGCCAGGATTTATGCAGGAAAAAAAGCCACTTATTTCTCCACCAGGGTGCACTGCTCCACCCTCCCAGCTTGGAGAGACAGCCTCCCTTTCTCTGTCCACCTTGGCTTTCAGACAGGTCGTGGTTGAGATGAAAGGCGCTGTGTACAGAGGGCTGCAGGCAACAGGAAGAGCTGACATCCCTGCTCCTGCAGGGCCTTTAAGAAATGTCACAGACCAGCAGACTGTGAAGGCATTTTGGGTCTGCAGAAAGAACAAACATCCGTATAGGAATCCTGCCCTGGAGGTGCGCTAGCGAGAAGCAGTAGAGTGAATGGGGCCTGTCAACGGAGAAGAGACTGGTGGACCCTGCCAGGCAGGCAAACCCCTTCCAGACAGGGGGCCTCACTGCCCAGCACCCCTTCCAGGACAGGTAGATAGCATCACCTTCCTTTCACAAGGAGGAAATCGAAGCTGGAGAGATGTGCGAAAAAATACACAACTAGTAAGTGGCCAACCCAGGTCTGTCTGATCCAAAAATTCGTCCTCTTTTCCCAATACCACAGCCTTTCACTGCCTGATTATTTTAAGACCAAGATCACATGCACTGCCCCAGCTGCTCTGCCCCTGTGCTTGCATCTGCTGGCAGGACATGTCTACCACAGGAGGAATGCACCGTAGGGGTTGAGGATGGGACTCCAGTAGCCCCAGACTTAACGCATCTAGCTTAGCACCTCCAGGGAGAAGAGTGCCTCTCTCTCCCCAGTTTCCCTTACAACAATTCCAGGGAAAAGTCTGGTTGGCCTTGCTGGGGCCACATGCTCACTCCTGAACCAATCACAGGGAACTTGCAAAGCCCTGATTGGCCAGCCCTTTATGACAGGGTGGGCTGCCATGATGGATGTGCTCCCATCTAGGGCCACAGGTAGGTGTTGAACATTGACTCAAAGGGTCAGGGAAGCCTTCCCAGAAGTCATTAATTCACTGAGACCTGAAGGATGAGTAGGAGTACTCCAGACAAAGAAGTAGGAGAACCGTGTTGAGACAGAGGGACTCGCAAGTGCAGAGGCCTGGGCTGCTCCAGAGCTTGTCTTGTTTACAACCATGTCTCCCTCGATCTTCCCAGGGATGCTCAGAGAATGCTTCAGAAATGAACTCCACAACTGGCTGTGTGGCCTTAGACAAGTTACTTGCCCTTCCTGAACTTCAGCTTCCTTCTCTATCTGGTGGTTTAATCATTCTAACCTTCCAGGATGATGCAAGAATTCTGTTCATTCAGCTTCCAAATGTTCATCGAGCACTTCCTCAACGCCCTGCATTTTAGGCCTCCCATTGAAAAGAGAGACTTGGGGCTCACGCACACGGCTGACCTACAGCCAGAAATGAGAAGGGAGCTATGGGGAAAGGCAGGGCAGAGGGAGAGGTCCAAGGACAGCGAGGACAGACAATGGGAGGAATGGGGTGGCTTGCAGTGATTCATGCCTTCACCAACCCCACCTTTTCCCCAGTCCTGCCCCCTCCCCTTCCACTGCCACACCACCCTGAAGCCGATTTACCCACACTGGCTGGGTAAGCATCCAGGGCAATAGAACTTTTCTCCTTATTCCTTTGCTGGACAACTTTGTAACCTGAATAACAGGTTGGGACAATCTCCAACAGGAAGGAGGAGAAAACACACTGTTTTGGGCTTGAGTGGCAACGGAGGGATTCTTGCTCCACCCTGTGTACCTGTCCTGGGTGTCTTTCCCACTCCCCACCCCAGCAGGCCAGTCCTGGACCCCAGCTCCAGAGTACCCACAGGCTGCCAGGACAAGCAGATTGGACACTCAGGACACCAAGAAGCTCTGCAGGTACTGGGTGGGCAGCCAGGGACTCAGTCCAGAGGAAGAGCAGCCTGGGGAGCCCTCACAGCCCATCTGGGACTGGCCACTGGCCCCTGCCCCTCTCCACCCCACTGCCCTGAAGCCAGATTTCCTGCTCAGCACAGACAGGACAGCGAGAAGCTAGCCCCTTGCCCAGGTGTGTGTCCCATATCCTCTGTCTCTGTCCCTATCTCTGTCGCTGAGTGTTTCTCTCTGAATCTGTGTGTACACATATCAAGAGTACTTGTTCTGTCTCCCTCTTCTTCTCTCTGTCTCCCTCTCCCTCTTCTTCTCCCTCTCTCTCTCTCTGTCTCCCCATTCATCTCTGTCCCAGATTGGAATGGCTCTGTGCACAGCCTCTGTGAATATTCATCTCTGTCTGTCCATCCAACCCCATCTGTCTGACCCTGTCCCTGGTAACTGCCCAGCAACTGGGAGGTGACACAGGGGAGAGATGGAGAGAAGGATGACCCTGCCCTGTCCAGAACTGAATAAGAGAGGAAACTTTGATTTCAACCCTCCTCTGAGATAAAAATTTTTGGCATGAGACCCCAATGGGGCTAGGGAAGAGGGGTGTCAGGGAGTGTTAGCAGCTGGAAACCTGCATCCAAATTCTCTTACCCCTGCAAGCTGAATAACCCCATGCTTAGCCATGGCGGGTCTTGCTTACTCATCCCGAGCATGGAGGTTGTGAGGATTAAAGAGATAATGCATGGATGGCACCTGGCACAGTCACCTGTAATATGTGAGTTCTGACTACTGTTTATTTCCACACAATAAGCAAAGATCACTTGGGCTTCTGCTCCCTGATGGTGGTCCTTCCATTCTGTCCAGCCACCTACTCTCCTGGCTCCCCCAACATGGGCTTCCTCCCAAATGTCTTTTGAGTCTCATCTGGGGACCTAGGCTCCTGGACTGTAGGTTGCATCCGAAGCACAGTCATGATCACAATAGACTTTTTTTATCTGGAAAAAAAATGCTGGTAATCTGAATTTCAGGAAGTTAAAGTTCCACAATCTTTCTGTGGGTGGAGCCAGGTGACAGCTTGGTTTTCTCACTGGTAGGCCCTAGAGGAGTAAGATCAGGGCGGCGGGAGGACTGTTACAATTCACAAAGGAGATGTGGTTTTGCAGTTGCTGTTGCTGTTATTGTTGCTTAAACATCAAGAACTGGTCCAGCCCGAGCACCTCTCGGTGTACATACGGGCAGGGCCGAGGAGGCGAATAGACTTGCCCAAGCTTGAAGAGGGTGTTGGGGGCTGTGCCAGGCATGAGCCCAGTCCCTTGTCTCAGGTCAGAGCCTTCAGCAGTTGGACTTTGGAGATCATGTCTGTGGAGTTGGATTTTTAGGATAAAGAAGATTCTGGGGTGGAGAGGGGGCAGGAAGCATTGTGGGAGAGGTCACTGCAGTCAGAGAAGGTTACCTGCCACCTTGGAGCTGGTGTAGGAAGTCTGAGACCAGAGACCTCCAACCCTGCCTTCTATCCCCAAGTCTCCACAGACCTCCTGGGGGTTTCAAAGCTGCAAATTACTGGTAACTGCCCAGCAACTGGGAGGTGACACAGGGGAGAGATGGAGAGAAGGATGACCCTGCCCTGCCCAGAACTGAATTAGAGGAAACTTTGATTTCAACCCTCCTCTGAGATAAAAATTCTTGGCATTGAGACCCCAGTGGGGTGAGGGAAGAGGGGTGTCAGGGAGTGTTAGCAGCTGGAAACCTGCATCCAAATTCTGACTCTTACCCCTGCATGCTGAATAACCCCATGCTTAGCTATGGTGGGTCTTGCTTACTCATCCCGAGCATGCAGGTTGTGAGGATTAAAGAGATAATGCATGGATGGCACCTGGCACAGTCACCTGTAATATGTGAGTTCTGATTACTGTTTATTTCCACACAATAAGCAAAGATCACTTGGGCTTCTGCTCCCTGATGTTTCACTGCAGCTAGCTAGCTCAACATCTTTTGGCTGGCTGATAGGAAGGAAGGAAGGGAAGGAGGGCCAAATAGATGGATGGAAGGATAGATGGACAGGTAGACAGAGGATAGATAGATGGGTGGCAAAATGAATGGATAGAGGATGGATGAATGGCTGGGTGGGTGGATGGATGGATGGATGGATAAATCAACTGACAGATTGATGGATGGATGGGTAAACAGATGGATGAACAAATGGATAGATGGATAAGTCAATAAATCAAATCTTCCAAAAGACAGTGGCTTATAAACTATCCCTTCCTCTACTTTCTTATCTCTGCACTTCAAAAAACATGGCGAATTGAATATAAAATTCCAGGGGCAAGAGTGAAGGAGAGGTGGAGGCAGGCAGAAAAGGAGGAAAATTGCCCTCCTGTCCATATGGCAGGTTGTGAGGGACCCAACTGAAAGAATTATATTCTCCACAGTTACAGGTGCCTGTCCCTCATCTTCAAGCTTGGTCCCTTGCAGATCTGATGCCAGTTTCCAATTGGATTTTCTTCTCTCCTTAGGTGAAAGCTGACCCCACTCCACCCTTCACCTGGACAAGATGAGAGTGTCAGGTAGGCTCTGCAATTCCTTTTGGAGTCATTTTTCTGTCAGCCATATCCACCCATCCTGGGCTCACAGTGATTTGGCTGTATCTGTTCTCAAATGGCTAGGCCAGAATTCCGGGAGGAAAGCAATCCGGGGGGCCTGGAAGAGCAGAAGAGGTGACTTCCTGTCTCTAGGCTGAAGGGCAAGAGGAACTTTTGCACAGCGGCCCCAGCTGGCTGGGAGCATTGAGAGTGCCCATCTTGGAAACACTTGGCCTGGTTGGAAATTAAAGACAAAATATTTACCTCAAGGAGGGCTATTCTAGAGCTTTTATAGCATAGTGCTGGGCACAAGAAAGGCAAAAGCCTTCTAGTCCACACCCTTATACCGTACCCACTTTGTATAGATAGGGAAACTGAGGCAGCAAACAGGAAATGCACCTGCCTCATTTACATTCCAGAACCGCTGTAAGGAGTCAGGGGCACAGGGTTTTAAAGTCAGCTTACTTCTCTGGGTTCAAACTCCATTTTTGACACTTACTAGCCAAGTGACAGTGGGGAAGTGACTGCCTCTCAGTTTCCTCATCTGTAAAATGGGAATAATCAATAGTATCCAGCACATAGGGTTACTCGGAGAATGAACTGAGATAATGTATTCAAAAGTTGCTCACACAGTGCCTGGCACAAAATTGAGTGCTGTGTGAACATGAGCTGATACCCGAGAGTATTTTGGGTATTCTGGGTACCCAGAGCCATGCTATGCCGTTGAAGACCAGGGATACCCACAGAGCTGCATACCACCCCACAGGACCCCGCGGCCCTTCTCCCCGACCTGAATAGTCAGAGACTGGTTCAAGGTTCTAGAGCTGAATTCGGGCTGAGGAGCAGGGGAGATGCTGACAGGAAGGTCACAGAGAGGAGTGCCACAGCTGGGCCTGTGCCTCGAGGGTCAGAGCAGGATGGGTGGATGTGATTCAGAAAGCAGCAGGGATGTGATATGGTGCCCACTTTCTGGTCCCTGTAAGGAAAGGGAACCCCAGATGGCTCATCCCCATGAGTGGGGCTGTAATCACATGAGGGAATCGGAAAGCATTCTGGCCGTGGGGCAGGGGCCAGGGAGCTATGGCTTAACTGGAAGCTGCACAGCAAGTCTAGGTTGTGGTTATTTGTGGAGGCCTTGAGGGAGAACTGATGGAAACTGGGGGGGGGGGGCAGGGGCAGCCCCACCCCTGAGCCACCCTGGAGGCTGCCTACTTTTGACAACTGCAGCATCCCTGCCGAGAAGCTCAGGGGCAAGGGCGTTACCATGTCTGCTCTGTGCCTGAGGGACTCCAACTCAGAGAGGCTGAGCTCCTGCTCAGAGTCACACAGCACTGCCAGCTGCCCTGAGCGCTGGCCACAGCCTTCCTGACTCCTGTTCCAGGGACCCCTCCCAGAGTCCTGCTCTCCCACTGCAGTTCTCAGGCCTCCCCTTAAGGAGCTAGAGAAAGGTCCAGAGTGCTGGCCTCATTCCTAGACATTCTCTCTCTCTGGAGGGCTAAGTGGAGCCCAGGCAGGTACATTTTTAACTTTGTCTCTCAAGAAACCCACTTGGGGGAATGTTACCACATGACCGGGCAGCACGATCTCACCATCTAACCACTGCACAGATTAACACGTGGTCTTACCACATGGCCCCATGGTCTGGTCCCCAGCATGGATGTGGTCTGAGCCCACGGCATGGGGATCCGGGAAGGACTTACATGTGGTCTTGCAATGTGTTCTGGCTCTGTGGTCTGCTGGCAGCATCCCCTTGCTTGGCAGGTGTGTTTCGCATCCTGGCCCTCATCTTTGCCACGGTCACCACGTGGATCATTGTTCGAAACCACATGGGCTTCAGCATGAAAACCATCCGTCTGCCGCGCTGGCTGGGTGAGTGGGGCTCACTGCTGGGGGTAGGAACTGCAGACCAGACCTGGGGGCCGAAGACATATTCTTCCCTCCATCCCTAGGTGACCCAGGACAAGCTGTGCACCTGCCTTTGGGAACCCAGCCATTGCAGGGAGAGGGGGGATCCCCAGGCTTCCAGGAAGGGTAGAGTCCATGGGGAGCAGAGATACATTGCAAGGCCCTGGGCAACACATGTGCCCACATCAAGGACCACTTTGGAGAGGTGACCGCAAGAAGGAGGGAAAGAAAGGAGGAAGGACAGAGGGAGGAAGAACAGAAGGAAGGGAGGTGGGAGGAAAGGAAGAAAGAAAATAATGTGTTGAGTGTCTTCACCTGCCCCTGCTGCTCCCTCTCCCTGGATCTCTTCATGCAGAACCCCCCACCCACCACCCGCCCTCCCACCTGGCTCCTTCTCAGCCTTTGAGGCTCAGCTAAGGTTGCACCCCTCCCTGCTAGCTTAGCTTCTCTCATGTCAGCCTTTCTCCTTCAGAACACTCTCATTATCTGTCATTATCGTTTTTATGTTTCGTTGGCTGTTGCTTGTCCCCACCCCCTAGAATGTGAGCTTCCTGAAGACAAGGATTTTATTTTGTGTGCATCCACCTCTCTAGCACCTGGCACAGAGCAGATGTGTCTCTAGTAAACATTTGATGAGTGGAAAAAAAAACAGATGAATGGATGGATAAATGGGTGGGTGGATGGATGCATGGGTGGATGGAGGAATGAGTAGATGGATGGATGGGTAGATGGAGAGATGGATAAATGGATGGATGAGTGAAGAATGGCTGGGTGGGTGGGTGGATAGACAAATATATGGTTGGATGGGTAGATGGAGGGATGAGTCGATGGGTGGGTGGGTGGAGAAGGGATGAGTGGGTAGATGGATGGGTGGATGGCTAGATGGGTAGATGGTAGGTGGGTGTATGGATGATGGATGGGTGGACAGATGAATGAATGGATGGATGGACAGGTGGAAGGATGCTGGATGCTAGCTGCTTTACACGCATAGTCTCATTTAACCTGCACAAATATCCCACAACGTGATCTATGGTGTGGTTGTGGAAGGGACTCAAGCACAATCCTTGATGTGGTTTCACGTGTGGGCTGAGAAAACAGAAGCTCAGGGAGATTTAAAAACACAGCCAAGTTCCTCTTGAAGATATTAGAACAAGAATGGGAACTCAGGTCTCCCAGATTCAAATCCTTTCTGATCTAAGGAAGAAGTGAAGGAAAGGGATTTATACCTCTGGATTCACTGCCTTGAAGACCAAGAACCACCTCCACTGACATCATAACAAGCATCAGTATCTATAGTGACCCGGGCCTCTCACAGCTTCCTAAGGCAGCAAGTAAACCAGTCGCTCCATCTTGAACATGGCCCCACGGTGGAGAGTCTGTGATCCCTTACCTTGTTCACTTCTTGTCACGCATGTTCCACAGCTCATGTTGGGATGATTTATAAGTTTATATAGATGCTTGGTGGCCACCATGTCCCCATACCCAGGTCACTGCTTTTACAAACTAGACAGTGACATGGCTGCACTAGTGGCTTCAGAGGTGAGGGACCCAGGGGAGGCTCAGGGGTGTCCTCTAGAGAAGAGGGCCCCAGCCCGAGGTGGGAGAGGGGCAGTTATTGAAAAGAGACTCCAGTAATCATTTCTCTCTCAGTACTCAACCACCTGGGGTTTAACAATTCAACACTTCCAACCAACCATCATCAAGTGACTACTGGGTTTGGAACCCTGTGTTGGGCTCCGGGGACCCTGAAATGAGGAACACATGGCCCTGCTGATGGCCTGACTCAGAGAAACAAACACACTTGATTACAGCATGTAGAAGGCTGAAAGTGCATTAACATGAGGCAGAGTCTCAGGAAATGTTTACAGTGGCAAGAAATGTAACCCGTGGGAAAGATGGCCAGTGAAAGCTCCTTGTGTCTCAGCACTGAGGGGTAATTTTCATTTACTTTGGAGGTTCCTAACCTGGGCGCATACCCTCGTTTTATTATTTAATGCACTGATACAGAAGCACATATATTACTACAGCACAAATTTGGTTTTGGATTTTACTACTGTATTGATATAGAATTGGTTTCCAATCTGTTTTTCTTTATGCATTTAATAACACAGTCTGTTGGAGCATAAAGTGATAAGTGCCTCAAGGGAAGTGAGAATGATTTTATTCTGAGGGGATTTCATGGGCTTTTCCAAACCACCGAAAGGATCTATGGCACAGAAACCAGATTAAGAACCCTGTGCCTGGAAAGTGAGGCAGGGTTCTTTCAGGTGAGAGTGACCAACTCAACTCTAACGGGTTTCAACAAAACATGATATCTTGATGGTCCACTACGGGCATCTCGTGGCTTCAGGTGTGGCTGAATCCAGGAGTCTCCCATGAAGGAGACCGGCCCCAGAGCCAGCCTCCTGTCTCTCTATCCCTCTGCTGTTGCTACTTGACCCCAGCAGGTTAGGGCCTCGTTCCATGGGCAGCTCTAAGGCAGGCACGATGGCTCCTCCCTGATGCTTATCTTCTCCATTGCCTCTTTCTCCTTCTTCCTCTCTCCACCCGCAGCTATATATCAACATAGGGAAGTGGGGAGGGGTCATCTCCGAGGAATGTAATACTGTGACTGGCCTAGTTTGGGTCTCGTGCCACTCCTGGGGCCTTGGAGGCAAGGGCTGGGAACATTCCTTAATGGGCAGCCCCTGAGGACCAAATGGAAAGTGTGTAAGTGTTGGGGGTTCCCCAAAAAAGGAGAGCTTCTTCCCTAGCATTTCTGCGTCCTCTGGAGGCCCTGTCCTCCAGGCGTCACTGCTGGCATGGTGACAGATAGGACGTAGAACCACAGAAACAAGTAGGGCATGGAATAAGATGTCAGGAAGTGGCCAGGGGCCCTGGAGCCAGTGCAGACAGTGCGCACTGCAGGCAGTCGGAAAGAGACGCCCCGATACAGCCAAACACTCACAGCAGCACAACTCTACCCTCCTGGGGCCCAGGAGCCAGGCACTGGGCTTGGCCCTCACAGAGTGATCCCACTGGGCCCCCTCCATAGCCCCATGAGGGTGGCTGTGATGGTCTCCATGTGCCGTCAAGGAAACTGAGGCCCAGGGAGGTTAAGCTTCTCATGAGGCCATATATGAGGAGCTAGGGCATAAACTCCGATGGGTCTCAAACAGCCCAGCTTTTTAACCAAGGGTGAGTCGTGTGTGTGTCTTATACATGTGTATGTGTATATATGCACACACGTGTATGCATGTCTACATGTCCGGATGTGTGAGCATACTCATGTCTGTGTGTGCACATATGTGTGTCTATATGCATGCATGAGTGTCACATATATCTGCCTGCATGTGTGTGCATGTGTATGTGTGTGTGCATGTATATGTGTGTGTGCATGTACACATGTGTATCTGTGTATATGTGTGCTGTGCGTATGTACATGTGTGTGAAGGGGTGACAGTGGCAAAGGACTTTTAGTTCATTCCAATAGTGCCAATTTAAGGCCCCGTCTTCCCACTCCCCAGCCCCCAGCCCCCAACCTCCATCCTGCAGGGGTGTCTGAAGTGTTTTTCCTCTAACCAGATTCTGTCTTCTCTCCAGCAGGCTCGTCCACCAAGGAGACCCGTGAGTATCTGTGCAGCTCCACACCTCCCCCGACCTCATCCACTCACCTCCTGCTCCCATTTGTTCTAGGGCAAGAAGGCCCAGGGCACCTGCTCTGAGCCCTGCAGGTCCCAGAGAAACCTGGGCTTCCAGATTCTTCCCGATCCTCTCCTCCCATGGCCCAATGGTGCCTTCTGAAGCTCCTAAGCCCTGTGGCAGGGTTGGCCCTCTCTCAGCCATTTGGACTGCAGGGACACAGTTCAACTCTGCCCCTTCTCCAGTCCCCCTGCTGCAGTCTGGACCACACCCTGCCCCTGCCTCCCCTCTCTAACAACCCCACACAGCTGGGAGCCCAAGGGCCAGGTCAGTGCTCCCTAACCCTATTGCAATGACCCCAGGCTTGGCTCAGGATTCCTGCAACATATTGCAATGACCCCAGACTTGGCTCAGGATTCCTGCAACAAAGTGCAAGAGACCATGTCAGGCACTGCAGGGACTCCAGAGACAAACAGAAGTGGATGCTGATTGTCTGTTGGGGTAGAAATGTCAGACTTGCCAAGAGAAGTGGAGAAAGGGCTCTGGGTTCCAGGAGGAGCACCCCCTTCCAATGGGCAGATCAGGGAAGGCGGTGACCTCTCTGCAAAGGCCTAGAGGCAAGGACGCTCCAATGAAGGCCTTGACTAGAGAGTCAGGGACAGGGAAGCAGAGGGAGAGCTGTGATGATGGCAATAGTAATGATGATTGAGTGCCTGTTGTTTGTCAGGCACTGGATTCAGAACGTCACAAGCATCCCATGCAATCCTACATACAACCCTATGTTGGTGCTATAATTAGCCCCTTTTATAGGTAAGGAAACTAAGGCACCAAGCAGCAAAATCTCTTGGCCAAGATCACACAGCTGTAAGCCGTAAGGCAGGAGTCAAATCCCCTCCACCATCTATTCCAGAGCCCACCCCCTCAAGCCCTGTTTGCAAGAGGCAATACCTCCAGGCCCTCTCCATTTCCTTCTCAACATGGCAGTGACTCTGAAGAGAGCTGTGGCTCCCAAAATAGGATTTTACCTGACTAAGAAGGGCATGGGTGCCCCAGTACACTGCAAGACTACAGAAAGCAAAGACAATATGAAGTAACACAAATCATTCACCCCACACCCTTAACCCTCGCTCCCTGAAGCCTCCTTAGTCCTATTCGGAAGTGGACACAGAGTGTCACAGCATCTTGTTGCTATCAAACACTTGGACATCACCTGCTGGGGGGATGGCAAATTCAAGCACACATGCTGCCTTCCACCCTGCCTGCTCCCATGGCAGACATCACCAATCGATCCCAGCATTCTTTCCCTCCAACCCCATAGGCAGCCTTGAGAGCTTTATCATTAAGTCTTTAACAGGAGGTCCACATTGACATTTAAGAGGAAAGCTGTTTGACAACCCTGATCTAAACCAACTCCCTGATTTCACAGTTGGCAAAGATAGAGGGAGCAATTTCTGCCAAGCCACAAAGCAGATAAATGAAAGAGCAACCTATTTCCTGAATGCACCGCTGCCCCAGTGTTCTTGGTAGCACACCAGCTCCATGCCCTGAACAACAGCACAAGGGTTCCCAGGGGGATCAGGCCTCAGGGACTGAGGCAGCTGATGGGAGCAGCCTTCTAAGCCAGAACCCAGAGAGCAACCTCCTGCCTCCCAGAGGCTGAGGCCCCCTTGGCCTCATCTCCCTTCATCTAGCAGCGTGACTATGAAGGCTGGATGGTCAGAAAATCAATTCCGGAAAAGCCTGCTTAAGCCAGCCTGTTGACATCGGGTTTATCAGACTTAGCTGCAATTGACTAGGCTGTGGGCAAACTCCGGAAGTGGTCCCCAGGGCTGGGAATGATCTCCCTGCATAGGTGAGACCATCTGGGTGAAAGGCACATGTGGCAGGAGGTGTGGCCCCAAGGCTGTAGGAGATTAGGAGCCATGTCCTCGATTCCCTCCCAGCATTGCGCCTCAGCCGGTCCCATAGGTGGGGGTGAGCCCCTTCACAGGGATCCTGCCCAGAAGGAGGAGAAGGGGAGCTGGTCCACTCCCAGCCCAGCCCTCTCTCCCCTAAGCCACAGGCTTAGATGCCCACTCTCTCCTGAACAGCCCTTCACCTCAGATGCCTCAGCCCCTGCCCGCTCTCTGAATGACAATGTTGTGGTTTGAGGTCAGTCCCACCCATAAGGTGTATGTGCTGAAATGAGGAAGAGGGAGCCCCGGACAGGCATTTCCTCTCAGATCCTCAGGGTTGCCTGTTCAGCAGAGGGAACCCAAGCCAGCAGGGTTCCCTGGTGCGGGCTGCATTTGCTTCTAGAAAGGGCACATTTACCTACTCAAAGGTGCTCGCCAAGCCTGGCACCAGTGGGTTGTGCCCCTCCAGTAGACCAGGGAGGGCCCTGGAAACCACATGGTCCCTTCCAGCCTCAGGTGCATCCTGGCCCAAATGCTGTACATGTTATGTGTGAAGACTATCCAGTGCCTCCTATGTGCCAGGTACAGGAGTTATCAGGATGAGTCAACAAGATAATAAACATAACATCCTGGCCCCAGTGCCCTGCATGCAGCAAGGCCTTGGCGTGTGCGAGCTTCCTTAAGGAGCCTGCAGCTTTGCTCCAAAGCACACACTGGCAGACCTTGGCCAGACGCCTGGCACAGGGGCTGGGGAGGGAAAGGCTGCCCAACCCCCACTCTCCCTTTGCAGGTAAGCATTCTCCAAATCCATGTTTACCCAATCCTCCCAAATGCTGCCTTCCAAACTGTCAGCTGGTGCTAAAAAGCACACATTAGGATGAATTAGAACGTGCCAGGCTGCAAGTGCGGATGTCGTCCCCTCTCTCAAAGAGCATGTTGAGGGCTCAGCTGCCCAGCCACATCTTGAGGTCCCACTAGCATCTCCCCCAGTCACGGAGCTCCCCCGTTTGCCCTGTGAAGGCTGCACGGAGAAGATACAGGTCTTAGAAACAGACAACATCACCAGAGGTGCCATTTACTGAGTGTCCAGTGGGCTCCCAACACCGTGCTAAGCTCCCAGTGGGAGAACCAGAACCACCTGCCTGTTCTCTGTTGTATCCCAGCATTAGGCATATAGTAGATGCTCAGGAAATGAGTGATAAATGAATGAATGATGAGAAGAAGAATAGCCAGCGTGTACTGAGCATTCAACCACACTCATGTATTCCTCACAAGAACCCAGTGGGGGAGGCACCACAGATGTTCCATTTTGCAGATAAGATGAGGTGCAAGGACGTTGAGGACTTGCCCAAGGGAATGTGGCTAGAGAAATATGCTCCAACCCACCCCACCAGGGCCCCTGGGAGTTCTCAACAGGGGGCCCTGGGGACTCAGAAGGCTGCTGTGGCCCAAATGAGTTTTCAGGAGAGTCCCTTCGTCATGGAGACTCCGGTTTACTCTGGTTATGTTTACCCAGGGTGCTCTGCTGGGGCTGGAGCTATGATGAGAAGCCCAAAAATTAATTCTGGGCTGGTCCTGTGTGCTCTGGTGGGGGCTGTTGGGGGCACTGTGGAGCATAGAAGGGCACATCTCTCAGACTCTGCAGTCAGCAAAGGCTCCCTGAGAAAGAGGCTCTGAGCTTCGTTCCCAGCTGCTCCCTGGCCCTCCCCTTCCTCCCGCAAGCCCCTCCTGAGCTGCTGCCCACCAAGGCTGTTCTGTTTCCTCCCCAGAGGTCATGAAGCACAAATGTGGCCTCATCAAACCCTGCTCAGCCAACTACTTTGCGTTTAAAATCGGCAGCGGGGCTGCCAACGTCGTGGGCCCTACTATGTGCTTTGAAAATCACATGTAAGTACCTGAGGGGAAACTATGTTTATTTTATTTTACTTTATTCTTTTATTTATTCATTAAAAAAATTCCGAGGCTGCAGGAGCTGGCCTGTGAGACCAGCCCACAGCTTCCCTTTTATTCTGGGTGTGTGAGCCACAAATAACAATAATTCAAACAGCTCCCGCATCTGCCAGCACCTTGCCAAGTGCTTCACAGTATTTCTCATTCACTCCCCCAACATCCTGGGAGGTGGGGCTATTACCTCTATTGTAAAGATGAGGGCAGTGGGGTGCAGACAGGGTCACCTGCCCAGTGGCAGGGCCAGGATTTGACCTCAGGTCTAACAGCCAAGTTGCTGGGCTTCCCATGAAAGGAGATGCCTGCAAAGAAGGTTCAAGGTCCTGACCCAGGCGTCAAAGCCCAGACGTAGCAGGCACCGGGACTTCCACCCCAGTATGGGAGAAAGGCTGTGTACCCATCATCCAACTTAGATAGTAAAGGCCCCAGACACCAAGTACATTCTATGAAAAAACTCAGAGATGGGTGTTTAAGCCAGGATTCTGAACGTAACCACCGTTTGTTTAGGGAAAACAAGGAACTGATGGGTTCACAGACCTAAAAGACCAGAGGTGGTAGGCAGGCTTCAGGACCAGCTGGATCCAGGGATTCAAACCATGTCATCAGGGCTGTCTCTCACCCCATCTTCAGCTCTACTATCCATTGTATAATAGCTTTGCTTTCTTTTCTACTTGCAAGGGATTGATCCATGTAGTTAAGGAGAGAGACCACCAGCTGGTTTGACATATTAGCCCAGCCTAGCGCCCTAATGGGAAAAGAGCCTTCCTGTCTAAATTATCCCTGCAAAAGTCCCAAGCCTGTGTTTCATTGACTGGCCCGGTTCACATGACCATGCCTAGCCCAGTGTATTAGTCTGATTTCACGCTGCTGGTAAAGACCCGAGACTGGATAATTTAAACACGAAAGAGAGTTTAGTGGACTCACTGTTCCACATGGCTGGGGAAGCCTCACAATCATGGTGGAAGGCAAAGGAGGAGCAAGTCACATCTTACATGGATGGCAGCAGGCAAGAGAGAGCTTGTGCAGGGGAATGCCTCTTTATAAAATCATCAAATCTTGTGAGACTTACTATCACAAGAACAGCATGGGAAAGACCTGCCCCCATGATTCAATTACCTCCCACCAGGTCCCTCATACAACATGTGGGAATTCAAGATGAGATTCGGGTGGGGACACAGCCAAACCATATCAGCCAGTCATTGTAGCTGGGGACATAGGATGCTCTGCTTGTCCAAGCCTGGGAGAGAGAGGTCAATCCCAGGAACCACCTGGCCTGTGTGTAGAGAAAGACAGTTCTCCTGCGGCACACCTGTAGACAGGGGTGTGGATGCTGGGCCAGTAGGAACACAGCTGAGCCACAGGGGGACTGACACCCCAGGGGGGCAGCAACCTTCAGGGTTCAGCCTCTTCCCAGCAGCCAGGTCTCACAGTCTGGGGGTAGGCCGGCCCCACCTCCAGCACCTCAGAGACCCAGGCAGGAACCTCGCCTTTTCTCTGAGAAGGCTGTTCTGGTCAAACATGCCTTGAGAAACTCTTCAGAGACTCCAGCCCACCACTAGTTTTCAAGAGAAAACAGATGGCCCCAGTTATTCTATGTGTTTCCCGATGCTTCCGCCTTTCTTATGTGGGCCCTCTCTGAGTTCCCCAGTCGGGACAGCAGACTGTTCATTCCACGCTCAGGAATGAGTGTCATATTTCTTCTTCATTGTCTTCAGAATCATGAGTCCTGTGAAAAACAACGTGGGCAGAGGCCTGAACATCGCCCTGGTGAACGGTGAGTTGCAGATCCATCCCCCCAACAGTTCCCACCCAGCGCTGGGGAGGGTAGGGGGTAGCGGCATGTTCATTCAACCAACAGTGGCTCAGCTCCTACTTCGTGGCAGGTAGAGCTCAGGACGGTAGGGGCGTGGCTGGCCTGGGGGAACAGAAGGTCTCAAAGATCTGCAACACTGTAGAACCGCAGTGCTAGCCAGGCCCCTGCCACACGCTCCTAGCTCAGAAGGACACCGTTCTGCTATGGAACATGAATGAAACATGACTCCCTCCTCAAAGCCACCCCACTGAAACCAACACACATGAGGACGTGGGGACAATCAATGACAATGCAAGATCACGTGCTGAGTATACACTTTTTTCATTCATTCATTCATTCAACGAATGCAGGCAGCAGCGACTGTGGGCCAGGCCCTGTACAGGACACTGGAGTCAACCGTGAACTAGAAAGACAGGCCCTGGCTCAGCCCCTGTAGGTATCTGTGAAGCTCACAAACAATCTCAATGTGGTGAGCCTCTCTGATAGGAGCAGGAAGCATAGCTACGGGAACGCAGAGCAAGGGACAGACCCAGGGTAGCTCAGAGGAGGCTTCCAGTGGTAAGTGATGGCCAGCTGAGGCCTGAAAGATTGTAGGTGCGGCCAGGAGAAAAGCAGGGAAGCCTCCTCCCAGGCAGAGGCAGCACAGTGCAGGGAGGAGGAAGGGAGAGGGAGGGAGAGAGGTTTTCAGGGCAACATGGAGAGGTGAGGCTGGGGAGAGCAGAAGGCCAGAGGATAAGGAGCTAGCAACCCTGCTAAGAAGTGTGACTGGAAGCCAAGAGCAGTAGGGAGCCATGGAACAACTTTGAGCAGGGCATGAGGGGCCAGCCCTGCATTCCAGAATCCTCCCTCCAGCTTGGAGCAGCAGGCTGGAGGCAGGGCGACCACAAGGGAATCCAAGGCCTTGATAACTCAGCAAGCATCTCCTGCAGGACACACACTTACACTGGAGGCCAGAGGGCTGCCAAGCCTGAAGGAGGGACATGTTTCAGGAGGGAGCGGACTTACAGGGTCAGGTAAGGACTAGGTGCTCTGGCCCCAGCCAAGGCCTCCTCTCGGCCTCTGTTCTTAGAAAACAAGGGCCATTCCCTGACTGTAAGGACCACTTCTGGGACCAAGGTCAGGGCAGCTCAGGGAAAAGGTGTAAGGGATGCTCAGGAAGGAACCTGTCAAGCTTGTGTGTGGCAGGACCACATAAGCACACTAAGGAAGGGACAGAGTAGGACAGGAGCCCCCGCCTTGCCAGCCCCAAGCCCCTGCACTTTGCTTCAGAGGAAGCCTTTTCCTGCTCTGTCAAGAAATCCTGCTGGGTTGGGGAGCAGCTGAGGCCTGGAGCAGTGATGGGGCTGTCCCTGGACAGACGGGAGTCAGTGGACCACCCTGGCCAGCTTCCTAGGAGCCTGGGAAGGGCCGGGGCAGGGAGAGGCAGGAGGGCTGAGTGGAACCGTTCCTCTGCAGTTTTGAGGAGGGCCCAGGCCTGTTCCATTCCAGCCTCAGCAAAGTGGCTACAGGCTGGCGGCTCCCTCCTGCAGGGAGGGCATGCCCAGGCTGGTCTTTTGTGTTTGTGCCAGACCCCAGAAGACTGTAGGAGCCTCAGCTTACGTCAACACTCACATCAACCCATCTGCCCTCACCCCGCAGTGGAAGTGGGCAGAAAATGGCTCAGGCTGCAGCTGACCTGGATGAAACCTGCTGGGTTTCTCCCCTAAATGGGCCCCACCTGAGATAAGCTTTTCGAATCTTCTCCAGTGAGATGGCCCCAGACTAGACCTCTTTCCCTGCCTCTCGCAAAGCCAAAAGGATGAAAATAACCATCAATGGCAATAAGCACCAGCATTTATTGGGCACTTACTGTGCTTTTTCACTTAACCCCTTCACTGTGCCAGGATGGAGCTATGCTCAATATCCCCATTTCCCAGGTAAGAAACCAAGGCCCAAAGAGGTTAAGCAGGCTGGGTGCAGTGGCTCATGCCGGTAATCCCAGCACTTTGAGAGGCAGAGGTGGGCGGACTGCTTGAGCTCAGGAGTTCAAAACCAGCCTGAGTAAAGGCGAACCCCCCCAACCCGCCTCCTTCTCTACAAAAACATTTAAAATTTATCTGGGTGTGGTGGCACACGCCTGTAGTCCCAGCTACTCAGGAGGCAGAAGCGGGAGGATTGCTTGAGCCTGAGAGGTCGAGGCTGTAGTGAGCCAAGCTTACACCACTGCACTCCAGCCTGGGCAACAGAGAGACCCTGTCTCAAGAAAAAAAAGAGGTTAAGCAAGGTCTCACAGCCTAGAAAACCACCTACATTTGAACCTGGATTGAGTTAACTCCAGGTCTTAGTCATTCAGCTGAACTACCTCCCTAGACTAGAAACGTCTCAACCATGTATACAGCACCTACTGTATACATATGTGCTGCGTATGCCAGCTGTGGGGACGCCCAACGAATCACGTCAGGGGCTCAGGGTCCTCATCTGCATGACCCAGAGCAACACAAGGATTGCTAAGGATCCAGTAGTCTTGAACCTTTAGTGGGCAGAGATTTCTCAGGATCTTCAAGCTACGCTGGCTGCTACCCCCACCCCCACCACGCTCCAATTGCAGAAACACAAGCGCACGCGATCATAAAAACAGCTTCATGGGTTCATAGACTCCTTCCACGGGCCCCAGGTGTCGCGTTCCGTGGACGCTCCGTGGCTTGCTAGAATCCTGGAGGGTCTGCTAGGCGAGCCTGCCAGCCTGGACAGCGCCACTGCCCAGGCCTGGTCCCCACCCTCCTCCGGAAGCCTCGGAGCTGCCATCCCCTCTGCAACACCGCCATCTAGTGACGGAGAGTGCGAACTGCAACGTTCCTCCAGAAGACACGGTTCCCTGGAGGGCTTGGCCTTCGGCCGCCTCCTCCCCCAAAACTCACCAACAGCAATCCAGGTTACTGGACCCTGGGAAGCTGAGTACTGTTTAGCCCAACACAAATCCCTTTGCCTTCAAGAGTTAGAGGACTCCAGTTGTAGATTTTCAATTTAGGTGGGAATGATGATAACGATTGTTAGTTTGATTTTGATTTTGCAGCTAAAATTCATCTTGTATGACTACTATTAATATTTTAAATGTATCTCATTTTGTTCCCACAACCCATTGTACAGATGCAAAAATTGAGGTCGAAATGCTAAGTCCTGCGTTAGGAAGTGGCAGGACAGAACACAGACTCAGACTGGGTAGACTCAATTCGATTCCAGAGACACCCTCAGCCATTACGTTCTTGAACCTCTCAAATGAGCCCGGCCATCCCTGGGCACCTACTTGAGTCCTGCATGCTCTCTGTAGGACCTGATTTCATTAGATTCTTATTCTGTTTTTGGATCTTAGATTACGAATTAGCCATTTTCAGCAGAAGGACACGCGTTACAGGGATAATCGTTCTCCTCTTAACCCCTAGGAACCACGGGAGCGGTGCTGAGTCAGAACACATTTGACATGTACTCTGGAGGTAGGCGCCTCTGCTGACACTGACATCACAGTGGCGGGGGGTGCAGTGCAGAGGGCTGAGCCTCTTCATGTGGCAAGGGAGCTGGTGGCTCGAGGTACCTGGTACTCATTTCCACGGGAGGCACCCAGAAGGAGGTGCGGTGGGGGATTGAGGGTCTCCTGCTGCTTTCATAACTCCTGGCCGTCTCAGGTGGGATCTCCCAGACTTGGATCCGAAGACAGGGATTCAAGAGCAAGGCTTATTTAAGAAGCGAACTCAGGAAATGTCGGCAGGGGAGTGGGGAGCAGACAGGGACAGGCAGGAAGCCAATGCAGAATATGTTACTGAGCCATTTAATCAAACTTGGAACCCTGGAGCCAGGTGGAATACATGCCCCAGAGATTTCCCAGAGAAGTGAGGGGACTGGGGTGCCCATGCCTCTAATTCCTTGGCATGCACTTCTGGCCTGTGCTGGGGGCAAAGTGAACTCTGGAGGCTGGAGAAGACCTTGAGGCAAAGCAATGCCATTATTGATGTCACTGTAGTGCTATGGATGAGGGTGTGTGGCCCATCAGCCATACACACTCAAGCTCTGCTAGGTAAAGGTACTTTATTTCAAGGTCACATTGATCTCTTGTGGACCCAAGGACAGGACGGGGCTCCTTTCTGGACCTTACACTCCAAGCTCTCCACATCTTTTGGCAGATGCCTGTCTTCTCTCTGCACCTACATGCTTTGCAGGTTTCTCTGTGCACACAGCTGCCCCTTAGCAAGTCACTGCCTTCCTTGCCTTTAGCATGGCCGGGCAAGACAGGCCACTGACCTAGCTGTGCTGAAATCCCAGACATCTAAGTTCCCACCAGCAGCCTCCTCACCAACCAGCCGCTTATGGGCGGGGGTGGAACCCTGACCCAACATTCCCAACAGCTTTCAAAACGTTGCAGGATCAATTTCAGGCCGTCTGCCACCCATGCTGCCCAGCTGCTTACCCCGTCTCCCTCCAACACAGGAGGCTCAACAAGGAGTGACAAAGCAGCAGGCAGCATAGACCTGGGCCCTGCAGGGACTGGTTTCCATCAGAGGGGGTGTCACAGCCCAGGTGGATGCAATTTTCCTTCTGTATCCTTGAGACCACAGGGCGTCTCTGTGCTCGGCCGTTCTGGGATGTACAGCGTGTGTGACCACAGACCCCAGAGAGCCCCTCACAGAGCAGAAGGGGCCAAGCTGCTGCCAAACAGCTGGGTTTTCTCTCTCCTGAATTCCCCTGCCCTTGTCTCAACCTCTAGGGAAAGCCCACCCTGCCTACACCCACCTACACTCATGAGTCCAGGAGGGGTGAGAGTTACCAGGCAGCCGAAGGCAGGAAGCCCTCTCAGCTTTGCAAACAAAGGAAGAGGCTGAAAGGTGGGAGGTGGGGAACACTGGGGACATGATCTGCAGGGCCATTCTCAGAGATGGGCAGCTGGGACCCTGTCCTGGACCCAGGGCTTCATAAGGCCCCACCCAGCCCTCCTCCAGATCTGGCCAGCTCATGGGAGTCCACAGAGCCAGGGATGTGCTGACCTGGAGCCTGTATCAGGGCCCACGCAGGCCTCTTCCCAGGTGTGCCCTGCCCCCAGCCTTCAGACACTCCCCAGGACGGAGGGGTGACCAGGGGCTGGCAGTTGCTTGACAGGAGGGTGGTGTGGACGGAGCTTGGACAGGCACACTGGCATTTCCACGTGCAGTGTGCAGGGTCCCTCCTGGTACAGGATAGAGCTGAGGACAGGGTAGCAGGAGATGGGGACAGGCCATGGGCTGAGGACCAGACATCCTACCCGGGGTCCTGCTGATGTTCAGCATGGCCTGGGGCCAGCTTTATGAAAAAGGTCCAGTCTCCAGAGTCAGAGGCTTCTGGCAGCATGACTTGAGGCAAGTGGCGCCTCTTGAGCCTCGGTTTCTTCGTCTGTAACATAGAGACAGCCATAGTCTCCACTCCATACGACTGATGCGAGGATTAGATGATAACCTGGAATGACTGCTGGAAGGGTGTCCAGCCTGCCTGGGGGGGCGGGGCCAGGCAAGCTCGTTTAGTCCTCTCCCTTCCCTCCTCTTCCCCTTCCCTTCCCCCTTCCCTCATTCCGTCCAGATGACTCAGAAGCAAGGAGATCATCTGTCAGAGTGAAAAGGAAAACAAGTTTTAAGACGAAACTAAGCTTTAAAATGCCTTGTTATAAACCTGAATGTAGCCATGGCAGATGGGGATCCAGAAACAGAAGTTTTGTGAGCAAGCAGCCCTTTCCTTCAGGAAACAAAAGGAGATGGTGGCTTCTTAAAGTGAGGTGATCATTAGCAGAAGGCATGCTTTATTTTTTCCAAATACCCACCGTCCATCCAGGCAAGCGCCAGACCATAATATCTGCTAACAACACAAATTAAGGGCTCTAATTAAGAGCCCTAATTAAGGGCTCCCTCCCTCAAAAAAGCTCAAGGGCCATTTCTTTAGAGGAGACTGTGGTGGTTGACTGGAAACCACTGTTACTGACCTGGTTGGCAGCTGGCCTTAGTTGGCGCAGTGGTTTCTTCCCCAAGGTCCTAGGGGTCCAAACTGGAATACTAATAATCAAGGCCAGCTGTGACCTGTAGACAGGGCAGTCACACAGGGCCCGTGCTTGGAAGAATCTCACACTTGACTTGATGTTCTGCCATCGTGGTCTTGAAAAATACTTGATAATTTTTTATTAAAAGGCCCTGATTTTCATTCTGTACTGGGCCCTGCAAATTATGCAGCCAACCCTGCTAATAATTTTTGGTTCCACTAGAGCGTACTTACTGTATCCCCAAGGTTATTGTCACATTTGCACTTTATGAAGATCCTATGAGCAGGGCTATTCCTCAGCCTCATTTGACAGATATAGTCTCTGCTTTAACCACTAGGCTGTTTTTTTCCCAAACTTCAGCCCCCTCAGGTTGTACCATATCTAGAATAACATCTGCATTATTCATATTTTCCTTTAAATTGTGTCACTTTTTTCTTAACTAAGTAAATAGATCTTGAAACTATATCACTGCCTTAAATAGAAAGCCATTATCACTCATTATGCAGGAAAGGTGACCATAAAAATAATCACAATGGAAACAAATTAGCCTCTTCACAGGGAGCTGGATGCTGATGCCTTCCACAGGTGCTAAGCCTAGAGCTGCTGTCTGTTAAATGAAGAACTTGGCAAGTTAGGGAGGTGTTAAAGACACACACAGAGCCTTGCTCCTTGACACAGCAGGAGAGCTGTATTAATAGTAGACTTGAGTTCTCTCCCAGGGATCTCAGTTGTTCGAGGCCACGTGCTACACCATCTAAAGTCAGCACTGATCATCTGGGCACTGTCCAGTGTAGAATGGGGTCTGGAGTATGCAAAGGGCCCAGAGCACCTGAGAGATGATGACATTTGGTCCCCTGAGGGGTAGGCACACAAGGGCCCTTCTACCAGTGGTGCTCACCCTCCACTGCACGTCACAGTCACCTGGGGAACTTTTAAGTTCCAGTGTCCAGAAGCCACCCCAGATCACCTGGGTGAGTCCCCCTCACTCTGCTCACTCTGCCCTCCCCTAGGACAAGGGCTACAGGGGGCTCCACCCAGGATGTTCCTCCTCCTGTCTCCTGAGCACAGCCCAGTGTCTGCAGGACCCAGCTGGCTCCTGAGTCACAGGGCAATAGACAAACATGAGAATGACCAGGGCTCATTTCCCCTAAATCACCAGCACCGCCTTTTCCTTCCTCCCCCAGATATTAAGCACCTGGTGAAATTCCTTAAAGAAATTCCAGAGGGTGCACTGGTGCTGGTGGCCTCCTACGACGACCCGGGGACCAAGTAAGTGGAAAACTCTAACTGCCAGTCCGCGCGGTGATGTGAGCTGAACACCTCCAAACCCTGCATGTCCTCTTCTGCTCTCTTGCCAGTGCCATTTTCTGGCAACTTATCTTGAGGAAATTATCAAACAATGATGCAAAGGAATGTTCTAGGAGGTTCATCACAGCCTCCATTACCACCGTGAAAAACTGGAAACACTCCCCCTGTCCAGTAATAATGGCTGACTGGCTACAGAAACTATGACATATGGTAACACAGGACATGATGTATACACAGATAAAGATAGACTCATCAAAAACGATGGGCAGAAAGTAGTTGAAGATGTGGAAAACGCGCTCACCCTCTGGTGCTAGTGAGGGAAAAACGCTACATCAAAATAGATACACTGATCAGGTCAAGGGAAGGAGGGGTGAGACAGGCTTTCTTAGTTACTTCTTTGTGAGGCTCCATGTCTTCCAGATGAACACGTATTTGTAAACAGAGGGTACTGTTTTAACACATCGCCAGCCCCATCTGAGGGCCTTTTAGGAAGGAAGTCTTGAACCCCTCTAACCTGTCCTTCTTGAGTACAGCCACATTCTCTGGGCACCTCCAGGGAAGACACTGAATGGGAAGAAGAGTGGGAACCTTGCCCCATGGGAATCCCACCACCTAATGCCCCCTCAATCCATCCCTGCATCCTGATCATCCTCTCTGGTCCTCTGCAGAATGAATGATGAAGCCAGGAAACTCTTCGCCAACCTGGGGAGTTCCTACGCAAAACAGCTGGGCTTCCGGGACAGCTGGGTCTTCATAGGAGCCAAAAACCTCAGAAATAAAAGCCCCTTTGAGCAGGTGGGTTCTGGGCCACAACCTGGCCCTGTGAAGGATGGACAAGGAGCTGTGTGGTGGTAGGAAGGACAGTCACCCACCAAGGGCATTAAAAGTGGGAGTGTCTGGGGAGAGGCCACTGGTTGTCATTCACTCTGAAAGTCAGGGTGGTCTGATTGGCCAGCCCCTGGCAGGAAGCTGTCTGAGCCATTTCGTAAAAGGTGGGTCATATAAAAATAGCCAGGTATATGGGTAAGTACCAGAAAACGAAAAGGGAAAAGGAGAACAGAGGGATGATGGGTAAGTGAGGCATGGAGGAACGAGAAGGAAGTGGAGACATGAAAGCTGTGAGATGGGGAAGGGGAGCTGGGGAAAGGGGCAGGATGCCTGTCCCTGTCCCTTCAGCCTCCCTGGCTGGGCATGGAGAACACCAGGAGGGAACTCAGAGGTGGGGAGGGGGCCGATGCCATCATCAGACAAGAGGTGCGGGAGCGGGCAGGTGCGGGGACCTGTGTGCTGAGCTCCAGGGAGGGCACCGCTATGGGGATTTCTAAGCTAGAAAATTTGGTCTTGGTCTGTATGCGCATGTTTCTAAGAGAATTATTCAGGTAACTAGAAATTACCTGAACGCAGCGAAGAACACAGGAGGCCGGGGCGGGGTAGGGGGGTCCCAAATGTCCTATGGCGGTGCTGGGGCAGGGCCCTAGGAAGAGGCCTGAGGCTGCATAGGCAGGAGGTGGTGTTCTGCCCCAAAGTGTGGACTCCAGACCCAGGGGAACCTGCCAGACAGAGGAGGTGCAGGAGTGCAGGGAGCCCAGCATCACCTGCACCCGTCAGCCACCAGCTGGCTGGGACCCAGCACCCCAAAATGAACCAAGCACCCTGATGAGACTAAGCCAATCTGTTCTCTGTCCCCACACTTGGGAAACTGGGCTTTAGACAGGCAGTGTCTAGAATCTCTTTTTTAATTCCTGAGAGTCAGCCACGATGACCCTAACAGCAAATTTTGCCATTTACATTTTTTTCTTCATAAACTAATCCTGAGCATTTGAGACACAATCCTAAGTGATTTTATTCTCTTATATACTTATTACTAGTATGGGTATTTTTTGAGACAGGGTCTCGCTCTGTCACCCAGGCTGGAGTACATGGTGCAATCTCGGCTCACTGCAGCCTCGACCTGCTGGGCTCAAGAGATCCTCCTGCCTCAGCCTCCTGAGTAGCAGGGATCACAGGCATGCACCACCACACTCAGCTAATTTTTTTGTGTTTGTAGAGACAGAGTCTCTCTATGTTACCCAGGCTGGTCTTGAAATCCTGGCCTCAAGTGACCCTCCTTCCTTAGCCTCCCAAAGTGCTGGGATGGTAGGTGTGAGCCGCTGCACCCCGCCCTTTATTAGTAGTATTAATTGATATTACATTGTGATTCTGCCACTTACCAGCCAGTGACTACAAACAGTGACCCTCTGTGCCTCAGCTTCTCCATCTGGAGAATGGGATGTAAACAGTCAGTGCACACTCCCTAGGGCCACTGTGCAGATTAAATACATAAGGCACTGCAGAACAGCAGTGCATACAGCAAGCACTCAAGACATGCTAGGAGTTTTCTTTCTATTGTTGCTATTATTATTGTTATTTGAGGTATCCTAGAGGGACACAGAGAATTTAGGAGGAAGGGCTAGATCATTCCAACAACTGGTTACCCTTCATGGTATGATAGCAGTAACTGGGCTCTGATCCCATCTCTGAGACCTTGAGCAAGTTGCATCCCTGCTCTGAGCCTCAGTTTCCCCATCTGTGAAGTGGGTTAATAACATCCTGCACCCCATTTAGGTTTAGAGTGCAGTGCCCATGCAGGTGTGGGTTCTAAAGGGCCTCACCCACTGTCTATATTTCTGTGTCTTCTCTCTCCAGTTCTTAAAGAACAACCCAAAAACCAACAAATACGAGGGATGGCCAGAGCTGCTGGAGATGGAGGGCTGCGTGCCCGCAAGGCCATTTTAGGGTGACTATGGCTCTTCTTGTGCTTGGGGACCTGAAGAAGCTCCTGCCTGACTTAGGAGTCAGAGCCCAGCAGGCGCCAAGGAGGAGGAGCAGAGGGTGCCGCGTGGAAGGCGCTGTCTGTCGGTCCTTGTGCGCTGTGTCGCGCTTTCCCTCCTCGGAAGCAGAACCCTCCCACAGCACATCCCACCTAGGAGACCAGCCTCAGAGGGCCCTTCCGGAACCAGCTGTCTGTGGTGAGAACAGGGTGCTTTCATCAGGGACCGCTGACGGCCTAGGACTGACTGCCCACAAATGAGCCCAATTAAATTTTATTTTTGCTGGTTTTCAGTGAACTTTCTGATCACTCAAGTGGCCATGTTTCTCCCTGGGACTGAACTGCTCCAGACTCAGCGTGGGCCACGGGTTTGGACAGGTTGGTGACAACTTCAGGCTCCCCCTTAGGTAGCTGGGTGGGAGCTGTGTTTCTGGGATTTCCCGTGGGCCTGAGAGAATCCTCGGTTCCTGCAGGACATGTGAGATGGACGGGAACAGAGGGAGCCCGGGGACAGGACACCAGGAGTACTGTCATCACCCGCTGTCTGAAGGAGAGCTGGAGCAAGTCAGAGCAGGAGAGGGAGAGGGGGCGGGTCCGAACCCGGCTGGAAGGAGCAGCCGGGCTGCGCTGCGGGCTGGAAGGCAGCCGGGTGTCTACTCCCCAGGAGTGAACCCTGAGGCAAGGACTCAAGGGCAGCCAGTGTATTTGGGAGGTGATTGTGGGAAACACCAATAGGGAAGTAGGGAAGAGAGATGGGAAGGGAAGGAGGGGAAGGCAGCCAGTGAAGGGTATGGTTTCATCAGCCATCCCAGTGGGAACTGGAGCTGACTCCCACCCGAAGCTCTAGGAATCAGAGTAGAACCCGGCACCTTGGAGATACTCCATCCCAGAGTGAGGGAGCTGGGGTATTTACACACCAACTCCCACCACTGGTTTGTTGAGGGCTTCTGATGCCGGGGATGATGTGAATTCCTAGGCGCTTCTTGTCTGCCCTGCCTAGGGAAGAATGGCCTTCTGTGGCTTCACAGCAAGCCCCCAGCCAAGAGAGGGCAATGCCAGCTGCTGGCAGGCTGCAGAAGCACATTGAAATGGGAAGGCCAAGAGATATGGTGCCAAGACCTGCCTGAGGTCTCTGAGAAGGGCCCAGTTCCCAGGCTCTAGGCTAAGTCTTGAAAGGGAGTCATGGGGGCAGAAGACATTGCTGCTCAGCCTCCCGGAGCATGTGCTGGGGACACTGCACCTCCGGAGAAGAAGCCCTCTTCCCAAGCACATATGCCCACCAATGGCCTGGGACATGCAGCTCCCAAGTCCTGGGAGAGCTTCAAATGTGCCAAGATAGCCCGGGGTAGAGAGGATAGTGTGTGGGAATCTTCTACCGGGGGCCACGCAGCTGGGACATGGGCTACAGTTGCAGTGATATCAAAATCAAGGTCCAGGCCAGGTGCGGTGGCTCACACCTGTAATCCCAGCAGTTTGGAAGGCCAAGGCGGGCAGATCACCTGAGGCTAGGAGTTCAAGACCAGCCTGGCCAACATACAAAAATTAGCTGGGCACTCACCTGTAATCCCAGCTACTGGGGAGGCTAAGGCAACAGAATCTCTTGAAACTCGGAGGCAGAGGTTATGGCGAGCTGAGATACGTCACTGCACTCCAGCAGGGGCGACAGTACAAGACTCTATTTAAAAAAAAAAAAAAAAAAAAAAAATTCAAGGCCCAAAGCCTGGTGAGAGCCATGCTCAAGGTTGGCTGAGGAAGTCAGAAGGGGCCCACCCAGACATCCAGTCAATTCCATCACTCCCGGCCCCACCTCACTGCCAGCTCACCCTCAGAGATGAAAGGAGGAGCCTGCAGCCAGCCCTGAATAACCACTTCCAACTGCATCAGTAGACTACCTAGGGAAACATGGCCGGAAACCTGCTCTGGGAATGAAGGTGGCAGGAAATTTTCATTGTGACCATAAACACCTTTGAGATCTTGAAAATTTCACCTTACAACAAGCAAGAGTATCTTATAAAATTTTTAAAGAACAGATAAAGCCTTCTAAAGAGAGCTCATCACCAGGGACAGGGCTTGTCACTGAGGTTGTCAAGCCTTCAGGAAGCCAAGAGGGCTCTTGGCAGCGGCCACTATTTTAAGAAGACATGAGGTAGCTGCCTGGTTGAAGAGAAGACACATGGACTTTTCCAGAAACTGCACTGCACAACACTTCAAAGAAGACTGAGAACATGTCAACTGGCTCAATCAGAGAATGCAGGGATGAGTCCCAGTTCCCTTTCCCAGATTTTGCTGCTAATGGTCAGTCTGAAGTCTTCTTTGGAGCACTGCCCTTAGGCTACTCATACCTTCTTTAAGCACAAGTGCAAAGAAGACAGACGGAGGCTCTGAACGTGTACCCACCGCAGGATGCTCCTTAGCCGATGACTGACGGCTGCGGGAATGTGAAAGGCCAGCTCCTTGTCTTGCGGCGTGATGACCATGAGGTGCAGTTTACACTCCAGCATTCCCAGAGGGATCAGGCGGGAGCTGGGACGTGGCCTGAAAATGTCCCTTTTTGCTTGCCTCCTTCCCCTTCCCCATCCTGCACCTCCACTTCCTTACCAGTGTGCCCAGGGGCCAGTCCTTAACAAATCACCTGGGTGACAATCCCTATCCCAAAGTGGGATCCTAGGGGACCCATCCTAAGAGAGGTGGTGGGCACAGCCAGCTGGATGGGACTGGGCTGGAAGATAAGACCTCCAGGTCCACAGGAATTGTTGTCGTAAAAGGGGTCCGTTCTCAAGGAGAAAGAGCTCCAAGTGGGGGAGCTGCACTTGCCACTGCCACGTGGAGCCCAGGGAAGAGGCCACGTGCTGTTCCACAGCAGGGAACACGAGGCGGAGATTAGCAATCATGCCCCCCTCCTGCCTCCCCCTCCTTGACAAGGTGTAGGCCTCAGATGCCCAGAATCAGCCAGAAGAGAAGCTTACAGCCCACTAAGGAGACTGACTGCATTCTTGAGCCAGCCACACCAGGCGCCCCCAGGGGTGGGTGTTACAAAAGTGGCAAACACCTGTTAGACTCTCAGTATCATTTTCAGGACATTGTGGCCACTATAGGGACCCCGGGTCAGCTCAAGCTGTAAAGAGCTGGGTCTTTATCAGCAGGAAGTCACTTTTATCTCTCAGGAGCAGCTATGACTCACCTGCTATGTATCAGGAACCCAATAGGCTTGGGGATACTGCAGTGAAGAAAACCCAGCACCATTCCTGCTGTTTAGCAGGAGATATAAATCCAGAGGGGACATGGCTTGGCAAGGGGAAAGACCGCCGGACCCTTGCCCCAGCCTTGGGGGATCCAGGAAGGCATCCTGGAGGCAGCACCACCCATGCTGAGCCCTTGGGAGCATGAAGGAGCTTGCTAGGCAAAGAAGGAAGGGAAGAGCATGTCAGGCCAGGGAAGAGCACGAACAAGTTTTGGAAGGGCAACAGGGCTGACTGGGAGGTGAGAGCCCGAGGGGCCTTGTGAGCTGGGTAGAGGGCTTGGACTTTGTCCCAGGGCAGGAGACACACTGGGAGCAAGGTGACAAGATCTACATATTTTGAAAATTCCTTGCTGCTGTGTGAAGGCATGGAGGAAGGGAGGCCAGTGAGGAGGCTGCTGTATCATCCAGGGAGAGAGAGAGGGTGGTGGCCCGGACCAGGGGCCTCTCCCGGGGATCATCAGAAAGTGAAATGGATAAGACTTGGGACTCATTTTCTCACTGAGGTCGTCAAGCCTTCAGGAATCTCTGCAAGCTAATCATGGCCTCAGAACTGGAGGCTTGGATTTGCCTCCCCACTCCCTGCCAGTGTGCCTCCCACCCACCCAGGAGTGAGGATAGGGCTGTGAGGGGTGGGGCCACAGGGAGAGCTTCCCAGAAGCTGTAATTCTGGTTCTCGCCAGTAGGTGGCGGCACAAGCTAGAAAGGGAAGGGTGGCAAGGTCTCCCCGCCCACCCACCTCTTGGGAAAGGCTGTTGTGCCTAATGAACTCATTATCCGGGCCTTCCCAATGGATAGTGGACTTATCTTCAGCCTTGCCCATAGTGTAGCAAATGCAGCACCTCGCTTCTACGGAGCACGGCAGTTTTCCAGACGTTCTGCTCAGAGGTTTACATGAATTACGTCATTTCATCCTCATAGCCCCCACATTCGCGGGATGGGAACCATTGTTATCTTCTTTTACACAGGAGGAAGATGAGGCTCAGAGAGGTCAAGTGACTTGTCCAAAGTCACATAGATAAGGAGTCTCAGAATAAGGGCTGGAATTCCAGTCTGTCTCCAACATTGCATGAAACAGATATGTTTGCCCTAAACCTCTCAGGTAAACAGTGTTTCTCCTGTCTTCCTCCTCCCCTCCTCCCCTCCTCTCCTCCT